GAAATGAAAAAAAATCTAAAGCTGAGATTGATTGATTGATTGATTGATTGATTGATTGATTACTTAACTTACTCCACAAATGTTGTTCCGAGCACCTTTTTTATATCTAGTGCATTGAAGGCTATTCAGGTTGGAGAAAATTACAATTGAGTTCATTTTGTCAGCGTTTGTAAGTGTAAAGCATGAGGTGAAAGAGAATGAAGAACAGGTTAAATTGCTGAAAAATGAAGAGTAAATGGCTGTGTTCATATAAGCTGCTGAAGCATAAAGTAACAAGCCACATTTACCCATTGATAGCAGGTGATGTCATTCAGCCATCTCTCTCTGCATTTTGTTGGCATAGATTTAAGTTGGAAGCCTGAAAAAGTGAGTGGATTGAATTGGCCTTTGAAAGGAAGGTAGGGTAAGGAATTCCAAAGAGAATGTGTGGAACAATCGCTGGGAGAAAATTTCCTGTTTGGTCAGTGCTGATTGTGGCCAGAAATGCTTTCTAAGTATCAAAGAAAAAAATTGCATTCCAAATAAAAACAAGGTATTCAATGAACAGGAACTCCCTCCTGAGACATTGTTCAAAGCTTCCCTTTTCCGAAGTCTTTTTTGAGGTAGCTCTGAAAATGTGCAATAAACACAGAAGATAATTAACTTCCTCTTTGTTAGTCTCCAGGAAAATGAGCAGAGTTCATTTTTTAAACAAACTTTATTATTTTGCCATTGATAATGTTGGTTTTTAGCTGCTAATTATGTGTTCCTAATGCAGGTAATTCTCTTTTAGCAATTGTCTTGATAAGCAAAGCAGTCACCGAATGCAAAAGTGATTGTCCATTAGCTTTCCCCTGTTTTACAAACCTGCAAAGATCATAAATGCAGGGCTTAGATATTATTTCTTCATCATAATAGTAACACTGCTTAGTCACTAAACAAAGCAGTTGATAAGTGACTACTACCTATACATTATATTTAAGGTTAACTACTGTTGTACTGCATTATCCTTCTCTATTGCAGACAAGCAGAGTCCAGAGAAACCGGGGGAGTGTCCAATCGATACTTGCAGATGCATTCCTCCTACAATTTATATTTGCCGGACAGATAAGGAATGTAAAGGAAGGATGAAGTGTTGTGAGAATTGTTGTGTAAAGAAATGTGTAGATCCAAGGTAAGAAGTTCTGAGACTCAGGTAGTACTTTATATGGATTTTTCTCAAGGACACTCTTGATTCATCTTCTTTATGATAGCCACCATCTTTCTCTCACTTTAACCTTCTAGCCTCATCTTGCCCACATTCTTTACTTTTTTCTGTGGGGAATATAGCTATTGCTTTTACCTTGCCTGCCTCTGATTCCCCCTCCTTGGGATGAACTCTGCGGGTACTGCACAACCTAATTTGTTGGCATTGTTATATTTCACTAAAATTCCCATATAAAGCCCGTCCTTGACTCTTAATTTAAATTCTTCAGCAAGCTATTTACAACTAGAATCCTCCAATCCAACTTGACAGACATTTTTATTGTATCATCTTCTTTGACAACTTCTTCAGTAAAATATGTACTGTACTCTTGAGACTAGAAATATGATGCTCATGTAGTGACTTCTGGAGTGTTGTTTACTTAAGTTTTAATGTGTCATTTCTAATCCATAACAGGGTTCCCGGTTAATGGGAGTGGTTTGATGGTTCAATGTATTCAACAATATTTCAGCATCTTTCTGATCGCTTCATAAGCCTGAAAAATGTCTCTTGAACAAGAGATGAGAAGAGCAAGATATCTGCCATACTGCTTTACTCCTTGTTGTTTCAGGGAACTTTTCTTTCTGCCTGTTTTGCTGAATGTCTCACTTTCTGTCTTACAGCTTGCTGTTATATACATATTTTCAATGGATAATCAGTGGATAATGAAAAATGAATAAAACTATATGTGTTTTTCATTACAATGCCCATGATTACATCTCTATCATAAATAAAGTTACTTTTGCAAATTTCACTTTTCAATTCTTCTTTTATTTGCCTGCAGAATGCTATCTTGGTCATTTTTAATTCACTATTTTTAAAAGAAAATATGTATATAATAGCAAGCTGTAAGACAGAAAGTGAGACATTCAGCAAAACAGGCAGAAAGAAAAGTTCCCTGAAACAACAAGGAGTAAAGCAGTATGGCAGATATCTTGCTCTTCTCATCTCTTGTTCAAGAGACATTTTTCAGGCTTATGAAGCGATCAGAAAGATGCTG